CTCCACCCAATAGTGGAAGTTCCACTTTAAGCCCTTGTCCCCCACTCCCCATTAAGGATTGGCACCTTTGGGGAGCGGGGTACCTGGCTGAAGCTATAAGCTGTCACAGCCGGGTGCCCACACTGAAGAGGCTGGCGCTGGGGAGAGAAGACGGCTGGTGAAACCAGCCGTGCTAAGGACAGCGCTGGACGGAGTAACAGGTAAGTGTAAAAAAAAATAAGTCAGTTGCTACAAAAACTGTAGCTGCTGACTTTTAAGATAAATAAACTGGAACTCTGCTTTAATGTAATCATAAGACTACCTAGCTTGTACCCTGGCAAAAATTCCCTGGTACCCACTGAACCAGAAACCGCCAAACAGCACTCTAAAATACATAAAGTAAACAAATACTGTATCTCAAATCAAATATTTATTCCAACTAAATGTAGATTCTTGCTATATTTTTTACTTATTAACATCGGTGGGAGTCATGTCATAGTACCCCAGGGAACATATAATCCCATTCCGATGTGTCAAAACCACCATACATAGTTCTATTTTTTTAAATTGTTAAAAAAAAAAACATTACTTTATCCAAGAAGGGGGTGAAGATCAAGCTGTCATTTAGGCCAGGTAGGATGGTAGCATTCATCTCCCATATCCACCTGGCCTCCCTTTATAAAACTATTCAATCCAAGTCCTCTCCATGAGGGTGTGGGTCCACCTGATCCAAGAAACATTTCATGTAGGAAACATCACTATTGCCACAGGTGATATTGAATCAAACGTAGCATGTATATGTTCCTGTAGGCACTTTTGAACTGTCCTTGCTTATATACAAGGCTCCACAGATGTATCATTGCAGCAGCGGTACCAGTGTAGATGATTTTATTAGAAAGATTTTTTTTTTTTTTTTTAGCCTCTACAGTGCTTTTAAAAAGTATTCATACCCCTTGAAATTTTCCACATTTTGTCATGTTACAACCAAAAACGTAAATGTATTTTATTGGGATTTTATGTGAGACCAACACAAAGTGGCATATAACTGTTAAGTGGAATGAAAATGATAAATGGTTTTCAAATTTTTTTTTACATATATCTGAAAAGTGTGGCGTGCATTTGTATTCAGCCCCAAGTCAATACTTGGTAGAACCACCTTTCACTGCAATTACAGCTGCAAGACTTTTTGGGTGTGTCCCTACCAGCCTTGCACACCTAGCAGAGTAACATTTTTGCCCATTCTTCTTTGCAAAATACCTCAAGCTCTTTCAGATTGGACCGAGAACGTCTGTGAACAACAATTTTTAAGTCTTGCCACAGATTCTCAATTGGATTTAGGTCTGGACTTTGATTGGGCAATTCCAACACATGAATATGCTTTGATCTAAACCATTCCATTGTAGCTCTGGCTGTATGTTTAGGGTTGTTGTCCCACTGAAAGGTGAACCTCCACCCCAGTCTCAAGTCTTTTGCAGGCTCTAACAGGTTTACTACTAAGATTGCCTTGTATTTGGCTCCATCCATCTTTCCATCAACTCTGACTAGCTTCCCTGTCCCTGCTGAAGAAAAGCATCCCCACACCATGATGCTGCCACCATGTTTCACAGTGGGGATGGTGTGTTCAGTGTAATGTGCAGTGTTAGTTTTCTGCCACACATAGCATTTTGCTTTTAGGCCAAACAGTCCAATTTTGGTCTCATCGGACCAGAGCACCTTCTTCCACATTTGCTGTGTCCCCCACATGGCCTTGCATAATGCAAACGGGACTTATGGCTTTTTTTCAACAATGGCTTTCTTCTTGCATCTCTTCCATAAATGCCAGATTTGTGGAGTGTATGACTAATAGTTGTCCTGTGGACAGATTCCCCCACCACCTAAGGTGTGGATCTCTGCAGCTCCTCCAGAACTACCATGGGCCTCTTGGCTGCTTTTCTGATTAATGCTCATTGCCCGGCCTGTCAGTTTAGGTGGACAGCCATGTCTTGGTAGGTTTGCAGTTGTGCCATACTCTTTCCATTTTCGGATTATGGATTGAACAGTGCTCCGTGAGATGTTCAAAGCTTGGGCTTTTTTTTTTTTTTATAACCTAAACCTGCTTTAAACTCTCCACCACTTTATCACTGACCTGACTGGTGTGTTCCTTGGCCTTCATGATGCTGTTTGTTCACTAATGTTCTGCAACAAACCTCTGAGGGCTTCACAGAACAGCTGTATTTATACTAAGATTAAATTCCACACAGGTGGACTCTGTTTACTAATTATGTGACTTCTGAAGGCAATTGGTTCCACTAGATTTTAGTTAGGAGTATCAGCGTAAAGGGGGCTGAATACAAATGCATGCCACACTTTTCAGATATTTTTTAAAAACATTTTTAAAAACCATTTATCATTTTCTTTCCACTTCACAATTATGTGCCACTTTGTATTTTATTGAGATTGTATGTGATAGACCAATACATTTACGCTTTTGGTTGTAATATGACAAAATGTGGAAAATTTCAAGGGGTATGATGAATTTTCCAAGGCACTGTATGTGGTTTTAAGGTGACAAGGAATAAAATTTTGTACGTTTTATTGTAATTTCCACTTGGATATAGCATATCATGAATAAGATTGCTCTGGTGTAAGGGTTGCTTGTCATAGCCAGACTTTTTTTGTTTTTTTTCCCAGTTACTTCAAGTTCTCTAATATCAATGACTGCGCTGGGTGTGTATATATATTTATATATTAATTTATTTTTACAGACTCTCAGAATCATGAGCGAGACCTGGTTTGGAGGACTTTTTATTGGGGGTAGAGTTTGAAACTGATGCCAGGGAATCTGAAGTGGCTCCTGAGGATGGTACACTCTGGCCTCATCGGTGTCCAGAACTAGACTCAAACTCTAGATGTGTCGTCTGTTACCGTGACGGTTTCTGAAAGGTCAAAGTCCATCTGTAACATAGACAAATTCAGCAGAACCTGCAACAACCATTCTCTCAATGGAAAGTCACCCAAGTATAAACATAAATATTCAAGGTGCAGGTGAGATGTCAAAGGGCAGAACCCCACTGTAGCTGATGTGCTGGAAAGATGGCCACGTAAAAGCCTTCCTGATTAAATAAGTTCACCTTTGGATCATGTTATAGGTTCCACATGTATTCAGAGTGGAATATATAAAATATGCCAGCTCCTGTAAATCAAAAAAAAAAAAAAATCATAAAAAAAGGGTAGCGCTGCTGAAAGAGGTGCAAAATAAATGCATATAAAAAAGGTGAAAAAGTGATCCCTCACATATATACTCCAAATAAAACATCACCTGTTACCAGTTATGCATATAAGATGCAAAATGAAACCAAATAAAGTTCATAAATCAGTTCTTTAACTTCTTGGCAGTGGCCGAACGCAAATGTGCGGCCTCCCGGAGTCTGGGCCTAGATGCTGAGCGGCTGCACATTTGCGTTCTATTAAAAAAAACCATGTGCTGAGAGTGCGCACCCTGCGCACTCCCAGCACACGCGTTCAGTACTCACAGAAAGGTCCCAAACTCCTCTTTCGATCAGGACCTTTCCCGATCATGTGACCATCGTAACAGCAACTCATGACAGTCACATGACCCTAAAACCCCGCCCTCCAGCTTCTGGCACCCTTAAAGGACCAGGAGGTGCTGGCGCCAAGGGGTTAAAATTATTTATTTAACTAAATGATACTCTTATAAATCCATGTGTGTATTTATCCCACACCATTGTGAATCACTTAAATAATATGTGTGCTTCAGAACATGCTTTCTAGAAAAAAAAACAAACAAACTTTAGTGTCACTTTAAGCTTCATGGGGGAATCCTCCCCACTGCCCTATTGTATTCTGACAGCTGTTGTCAGAATACACAGACCAGTGCTGCAGCCTATTATCTGCAGCATGGATTGAGTAGCTTTTATCCAACAGGGTGGTTGAACAGAAGTTATTCGGTAGATCGACTTCTGTTCAACTGCAGTGGCCACACATGAATCGAAATCTGGCTGGTCCCTGCAGAACTGCGAAACGTCTACTCCAAGGGCTGAAAAGTGTGCCACTTTTGTTGTCCCTTGACCACAACTTGTTTTTATCTTCTCCCTAAGAGACCACTATGAAATGGCAGCTTTCAAATGCAAAGAAGAGATCAAAGTTGTTTTTTTTTTTTTCCATTCCCCATATACAGCACACTAAGCTGCAGAAATTCATATTGCAGGTGGTGGTAAGAGACATCTAAATTCATAGCAAAAAGTCAAGACTGCAAATGTCAGGAGCACTCTGTGAGGTTTCTTTAAAAAGGCAATTATCATAAAAAAAAAAATCTTCCTAAACTACATGATTATAGATTGTGACTAAAAATAGAAAGAGCTCAACAAAAGCTGTGTCTTCACTTTAAGACTGTTCCCCTTCCTTTGGACATGCAGATCAACCTGGCCATTTTAGAACATATTGTAGTAGGCTCCATTCACACTAGTCAGTTTCACCAATGTTCTGCTACAAAGCAAATATGCTTGAAAAAAAAAAAAAAAAAGCAAATACAAGTATACATTACAGAAGAGTAAGGTATAGAGGAGTTTATATAAAATTATGCAACTCTATTTGGATCTGAAATAAATAAAACATTAAATATCTGTCTGGCAGGCTTCTCAAGAAACTCCCCCCAGAAAAGACAGGTTGACAATTATCTTACCATTTTTTATTATTAAGTAAGTAGCTAGAATAGCCATACAAATAAATAAATAATTGATGCCCTGGAACGCCTCAGCACACCCATACAAGCTGCTTTTGAATGGAATGTCGACCCTTGGTGGGGTGTGTAAGCGAAGAAAATCAAGGAATAAACCATTCCGTTTCTGTTGCAGGTGGCCAGGCAGTAAATATTCAGTACAAAGCTAGAAAAACAGATACAGTAAAAAGGACTGCAAAATTCAGTGTCTTGTGCAAGTTCTAGGCAGCAGTGCACATTATTCAGGGCACCGAGACAACACTGAGTTATAAGCAGCCTCTGGAGAGGCAGGATTTCAAATAGGTCAGTCTGTCCCAAAATACTTTTGTCCAAAGTGTGTAGGGGCCACTGGGTGGACTTCAGTGGTTAAAATGGTTATGTCAGGAAATTCTTGAATGATGGACATTGCACCTGTTAAGGAAATAAAGATATTTCACTTAATAGCAAAACATGCAGATGACAATTTTGTTTACAATTCAGTTTATGCGGTACAAAGAATTAAAAAATTTTAGGTTTACCTGTAACCACTTCGATACTGGGCACTTTCACCCAATTCCTGCCCAGGCCAATTTTTAGCTTTCAGCGCTGTTGCACGTTGAATGACAATTGCTTGGTCATGGAACACTGTACCCATGACATTTTTATCATTTTTTTTTAGACATAGAACTTTCTTTTGCCACTCTCAACGGCCCCTATGATTGACCCTCTATCTCAATCTGTAATCAACTGTGTCCCTGGGGGCGCGATTCTGGGAGGATGTCTACAAACGCCTTCCCAGAACTAAACAATCACACTGTAGCCATCTTTCGACTATCGCGCAGTCATCCATGGGTTAAACAGGAGCAGGTTATATAGGCAGTCCTAACAACATTGTTTGCCAGTGTCCTCACCAGAAAGTGGCTGCATATAACCTGTGGTTTAGATCAACAGAAACCGGTGTCTTGTACTGTACAATTAAGAAAAGTAAGTTCCTCCCTTCAACCCACATTTACGACAACTTAAAATACATGAAATTAGAATTTATGTTCCAGATTACAGTAGGTAATTTGGAACCTCCTTGGTGAGTAGGCAGGCAACTCCGATATCTAAGGTCAGATGTAAACTTTGCTATTGACAATTGTTGTATCATCATACAAAAGATCAAAAAGCTACAGAGTTACATAGTTTATAAAAAGGTTGAATAAAAGCCAACAGTCCATCCAGTTCAGCTGGTGTGGGTGTGTTTTTTATGTCAATCCCATTTCCCATATCCCTGTATTTTGCATTCGCCAAGATGCCCATCTACATTTTTTTTCTTAAACTATCACTTCCAGCTGACACCACAGATTGTGGCAGGGAGTTCCACATCTTTACAGCTCTGACATTAAAGAACCCCCTACACAGTTTAAAGGTTAAACGCTTCTTCTCCAATTTTATTGAGGGGCCCAAGACAGGTTTTCAAACAAATTCTTATCTGGCCAGGAATGGCAGGCCCAGCAAATTTACAACAGAAAGCAGTGCAGGAAAGGCACATTCTGTTCAAGTTTCCTTCATCGTGTTCAAAATGAACTGCCTTTGTCATCTGCTACAGGTTCCAATACATTGTTAACGGCACCTCAAATGCAGATTGCCCACCAGATTGCATGGTACCACAGAACCATGTGATCTGGCGAGATGTGTTTTTTTTTTTTTTTTTTTTTAAAAGTAGTGCATCGCCCTACTTTTTGTGCGATCCTGGTGTGATTTCAGCTTATTCAAATGAATCACACTGCAGGGAATTGCACAATACATTACTGTGCAATTCTGGTGTTAACTGGCCCTAAGAGCTGACTGTTTGATGCTAAATAGTCTCCAAGAACCACAAAATGTCATAGTGGAATCTGAAAGGAACTTTGCAACAGTCTGTGTCAAAGTGTGTGCAACTAGAATCAGAAAGGAACTACACCAATTTATGAATCAAAAATAGGATTATTTGGAAACAGTAACAGCAGACATGTTTAGTGTAAACCAAAGACAGCATCTCAGGGGAAGAAATTTATACCAACTGTGAAGCACAGTGGTCAAACATTATGGTTTGGGGTTGCTTTGCTGCTTGAGGACCTGGACAGCTAGCATCATGTCAGCTAGGAATTCTGCTTCATATAAAAGTGTGCTTGAGTAGAATAAAAGGCCATCTGTCTGAAAGTTGAACTTGAAATAGATCTTTTACCATGATTATGAAACAGCACACTAGCAATTCCACCAAGGAACAGCAAAAAAAAAAAAAAAAAAAAGGAGGGATATGGACCGGTCTAATTTGATTCCTATCAAAAGATTATGAAATGGAAGGTGTTTTGAATGAAGTGGTCAAAAATTTCACAGAACTGATGTCAGAAACTGAGTTATGCAAAAAACACCTCTAAGAAGTAACTTCTGCTACAGTGAACAATACCAAGGGTGTATTTACATTTTCCATAATGCATCATTTCTATTGATATTTGTGTTGAACAAATTATCAAATTATTAAAAAGGTCAATGAACAAAGAACTAATGTTTGCCTGTTTAAATATGTTGAAAACGTCAATTTTGATGGGCTGTATTTGGCGAGTATGGGGTGTATTTGGGGTGTGCTTGGTGAGTATATGGTAAGATGAAGGGGTGGCCTTTGGGACAAGTTTTCAGTAATCTCAGTTGCAACTTAAAGTGTAAATTGTATAATAGTTTTAATCAACTGACTGCCACAAGCTATTCTCAATTTTTTTTACCAAGTGCATTTGTTGCTGCTTTCACATCCTGAAGGTAGGTGTATTGTTTATTACTGCTTTTCACTGAAAGTTTGCTAGTGCAATGAATGCAAGCACTTGGCTTTCAAGGACATTGCACTTTTTTTCTTTTTTTTTTAACTAATATAGTGAGCGTTGCAATTTCTGGTGTGATTTTAAATTGTAAATGGACAATCAGCTATTCTAACAATAAGGCAAAACGTCAAGGTTGAGCAAATTTACATTTGTACAAAGCAAAATTTACTGTCACAAGTGCAATATGGGGGCTGTTATTGCTAATGACACTTCTGTAAAAATTTCTGCCTGGCGCACCACTTCAATACTTCATAAGTCTACCAATCAGGGTTCTCATCTGCATACCTGTTCTCAGCCATGTCTCAACATAATGAAGCCAGGATACTGTAACAGCCAGATAACTAGCATTTTGCAGGCAAGGTTAGCAATGGCAGTCTATATAATTCTTACAGTACAGGTTTTAATAATTTCATGGCAGCAAAGGGTTAATGTAAAGTACATTACCATGTCTTACCATGTGGGGTGGAGAAGAGACTGAGAAGTATAATACAGCTAGGTTGGACTCCATGTTCAATCAGAACTTTAACTGCTTCAATAACCGTATTGCCAGTGCCTGCAGAAGAAATTTAACAAAGATGATGGCAAAGCAGAACAAAAATGGGTAAGGGGAAAACCCTTTTAACTTTACTTCTCACTATCACTCTTTAATCACAGAGACATTGATCAGTGTGTGAAATCAAATGATTAGTCATAACTTTAACACTGCTGACAGGTTAAGTGAATAACATTTATCTTGTTACAGTGGCATCTGAAAGTTGGTGGAATATACAAGTCAACAAGTAAGCATGGGAAAAAAAAAAAAAAAAAAAAAAAAAAAAAAAAAAAAAAAAAGCATTGCACATATGGGGCTGCGTACCTGCAGACCAGTTAGGATGCCCTCGCTGACTTATATCTACAGCCAAAAGCCCCTACAATGGGCACGTGAACACCAGAAGTGGACCACAGAGCAATGGTAGAAGGTGGCCTGGTCTCATGAATCACGTTTTCTTTACATCATGTGGATGGCCGGGTGTGTGTGCGCATTGCTTACCTGGAGAAGACATGGCACTAGGATGCATAATGAGAAAAAGGCAAGCTGGTGGAGGCAGCGTGATGTTTTGGGCAATGAGGAAATGTTTGCTGGAAAAACGTGGTCCTGCCATTCATGTGGATGTTACTTTGACACTCACCACCTAGCTAAACATTGTTGCTGACCAAGTACATCCTTTCAAGGAAGCAGTATTCCCTGATGGCAGTGACCTCTTTCAGCAGAATATTGCACCCTGGAAAACTACAAAAAGTATTCAAGAATGGTTTGAGGAACATAACGAGGTTGAGGTGTGGACTTGTCCTCCAAATTCTCCAGATCGCAATCCAGTCTTGCATATGTGGGATATGCTGAAGAATTAAAAAAAAAAAAAAAAAAAAAAAAAAGGAAGAAGTCCAAACCATGGAGGCCCCACCTTGCAACTTACAGGACTGGTTGGCAGGTTGGTTTCCCTCTTTGTTATAGTGGAAACCCCCCATATCCCAGTCCACTCCCTCTCACCTTCCTGAAGTACAACTAAAAGGCAAAACTTTTTTTTTTAAGTTTTGCACAGAGTGGAGTCGGACCCGTCAACTGTTTTTTGCTGCCTGTGTCGTTAGGGAGATTCACCCCTCTATTTGTCCTGTTTACCATTATCATTGAAAATGAAAGTAAAATATCTAAAATGTTGTGTTGTCCCCAGAAAAGTAAGAGGGGGAATCTTCCAATGGGGCACTAGTTATGGTGACCTGGGGGTCCTCTCACTTCCTGTTTTGGCTATGGGACAAGAAGTGAATTCTCACCTATGGGACCCAGATGGTAAAAAATAAACCCTCCTTTTCTCTATCCAAAACAAAAAAAAAACAAAAAAAAAAAAAAAAAAAGGTTTTCCCTACAGTTCTATTTTAGGCCTCACTATTGGCCTGTCAATGATCACACTAATAGGATGTGGAAAGTGCATTTCTAACTCTGCGAATGTATAGCATGGACCAAATTGGTGTGTATGTTCAAGCCAGTTACCATTCATCTGTTTGGTCATTGGGACAGATTAATCATTATGCAAACTACAAAACAATAAGAACAGTGTGATAAGAATAAAAGCTTACTTAGTATAGGGTACATTAACAAAACCTTCCTCCGATAAATGTCTGGCGGAAACTTTGCATAATAGACTTTGGCACGTTGTGTTTCTTCATCACTTTGGATTAAAATTTTTCCAATGCGGATAGAGCGGCAGCAGTCCCTCAGGCCCTGTTCCATGGCTTCACCTACACCAAGAAAAAAAATGTGAGCTGTAGAGAGTCGTAGAGAATTTTAAAAAAATGGCAACTTAGAGAATATTGGGAGTTGAGTTCCACTTTAAAGCGATTGTAAAGACTCCTGTTTACTTTTGTTTTCTTAACGTTATACTTACCTGCTCTGTGCAAGAGTATTGCACAGAGAGGTCCCAAACCTCCTCTTCTGGGACCTTGCCGGTGATCTAGGCTCCTCTACTTCTGCACGCGCCACCATAGCTGCTTGCTGAGCTGTGTGCATCCATAGACACACATAGCGTGGCTCGGTCCCAACCCCCATTCCCTACTCACAGAATTTGATTGACAGCAGCAGGAGACAATGGCTCCCACTGCTGCCTAGGTGTCCTGTGAGGAGAGAGAGCAGCAATGCTACTCTGGGGCACAGCACTGGCTTGAAAGAGGCAAGTAAGAATTTTTTTTTGGGGGGGGGGGGGGGGGGCTTGAGAATAGGGGGCTGCAATGTACTGATCATGGCAGATTTTTTTTAAACTTAAAGAATAAGTTCTCCTTTCATAACATGTTACACCCATGTTCAGGGTGTAACATGTCATAAAAGCACCAGCCCCACTCCCCGCCAATCCCCTGCTTTGACAGCTAATGGGAGGGATGGTCTCCCCCCTTGCTAGCTGTCAAATTAAAAAAAAACAAAAAACAAAAACGTGGCCGTGCGGGACTCTGTCGGCCCTGCTGCGCCACTCCTCTGTGAATGAGAAACTACAAGTCACGCCAGCCTTAGTGGCTTGTAGTTTATTGATGCTTCCTGTCAGTATATCTGCTTGCTTGTACATCTTGTACGGGCAAGCAGGTATATGGACAGGGTCTGCAGGAGACCTGCGTGGCACAAGTGATCTGCTGGTCTTTGGTGCAATGCCTTACAGGCTCCTGCAGCAAAATATAATAAATGCCATTTTTTTTTTACCTGCATAAAAAATGTGCAGTTATTTTTTCGATCAAAAGGTGAACTTATCCTTTAATCTAGAAAATGCATTAAGGTTAAAAAAAAAAAAAAAAAAAAAAAAAAAAAAAAAAAAGCAAAAAAAAAAAACCTTAATGTCTTTACAACCACTTTACAATTTGATTAATGGACAATATTCTTCAGTTTTCAGTTTTGAATTAAATGTAAAAATATATGTTGAAAATATTTTGTTCACACTGCAAAAACAATATAAACATATTATGCATGTTCATTGCTCAACTGTAAAGCTAAAAGTTTGCTTCATAGCATCTAGTGACCCCTTCCTAGAAATAGTTGGGGTTATTTACTTAGACTGGAGAGTGCAAAATGTGGTGCAGCTCTGCATGGAAACCAATTAGCTTCCAAGTTTTATTGCCAAAGCTTGATTGAACAAGTTAAAGTTAGAAGCCGATTGGCTACTATGCACAGCTGCACCAGACTGAGTGCTCCTCCAGTTTTAGTAAACCTTCCCCCAGGGTTACATTTATATAGACTGACCATCACTAAATAATGCAGCATTTACATACTAGCTATAGATTTTTAAGTGGTAATAAACCAAAAACGTACTATATTGCAGCTTACCAATTCTTAAATGTGGTGGCTGATTTAGTTTTCCTTTCCCCCCCCCCCCCCCCCGTTTCCACTTTGTGATCTGGCCAGTAACACACCTCCTGTATTAGGAGTGCCCCCACTCTGGATGAAGGAGCACAGTGAGCACCTTCGGACAGCAGCATTGTCAATCAGGGGTTGGGGGATTACAAATTGAAGCCAACCTCTAAGCTCCCGTTGCAGTTACAGCAACAGGTTTTTTTTCCCTTTTGGGATAAAGGTTTTGCATGAATAAAAGCTGATCGTTGGTTTGTCTCAATACTAACTGCTACATTTGCTTGTTCAGATGGAAAAAAAACAAAAAAAAACAAAAAACACTTACTGGCTAGATCACTAGATAAAAAGTAAAAAAAGTAAAAATGAAAAACTAATGCAGTCATCACATCTAAGAATTGGTAAGCTGCAATCTAATAAATATTTTCTTAGGGGTTATTACCGCTTTAAAGTGTTGTGCTGTGGCAACCGTTTTACAGTAATATGCACTTAAAAACACATTTATGCAAACTAATTTTCTTCCAAAATATGTGGTACTGTTCAACCAGTTGTGACTCGTTTGAGGGTGGAAGAGAATAAAAACTGGTTATATTTGTAATAAACTTAAGTATGCTTCATATATTTAACTTCATATATTAAACTGCAGGTTTTCAAGAAAACCCAATGGCCAAATTAAACGATGGAAAACCATTTAGTAAAGAACTGGAAACAGAAGTGTATTTATTACAAAATAAATAAATAACGGGTCTAGCATTGCAGTTACTTACCACTCCTCATAATGCTCACGCCACAGTTTCCTTTTTCAAATTTTACTCCCTCATACTTGTATCCTGCAAGGGAAAAAAAATCAATTATTTTGTTTTTGTTTTGCATTTAAAAAGCCGACATCAAGTAAACAAAATTTTACCCGTAGGAGTTGTGACGGTGCATTCTGTATATGGCAGTTGGTTCAGACCTTCCTCAACCACCAACCGGATCTGCAACATCAACACCAATATGAATTATTCACATGCTTTAGTGCAGCGGTCTCAAAACTGTGGCTCACAGACTGGATGTGGCCCTTTGCTTGTCATTATCCAGCCCTTAACCACTTGCCTACAGGGCACTTATACCCCCTTCCTGCCCAGGCGAATTTCCAGCTTTCAGCGCTGTTGCACTTTGAATGACAATTGTGCAGTCATGCAACACTGTACCCATATGAAATTTTGATAATTTTTTTTGTGACAAATAGAGCTTTAGTTTGGTGGTATTTAATCACCTCTGGGTTTTTTTATTTTTTCTTAAACAAAAACCACTGAAAGATTTAAAAAAAAAAAAAAAAAAAAATTCTTAGTTTTTGTTACATTTTGTAAATAAGTGATTTTTCTCCTTCACTGATGTGTGCGCTAATGAGGCTGCAGTGATAGGCACTGATAGGCTGCACTGATGGACACTGGTAGGTGGCACTGATGAGGAGGCACTAGTAGATTGCACTGATGGGCATTGACAGGCATCACTGTTGGGCACCGCAAGGCAGCACTCATATATGGCACTGATGGGTGGCACTGACTGGCACTGATGGGTGACACTGAAAGGCAGCTCAGATGGGCACTGATATGTGGCATTGTTGTGCACTGGTAGCCACTGAAATGTGGCATTGATGTGGCACTGATGGGAACTGGCAGGTGGCATGGATGAGCACTGACAGCTGGCACTGATGGACACTGACAGGTGGCACTGCTGGGGCTACATAGATCATCAGGGCACACTGATGGCACACGCCATTAAAATATTTTGAATGCATTCAACACCTTCAAAAATATTTTCCTAGCCTCCAGTAAACTATTGGCCCTTTTAAACTTACGGTGAAATAAATGTATTTAACTGCACTATACTAAATGTATTTTTTGCAGCTATGTTAGCCAAGGAGACAGCTGTTTGTTATAAGCAGTGGGTACAATATCTGCCAATTCTCTGCATACTTTGCGAGATTGAAGCAGCTACTAAGTGCAGTGTGAAAGTCTGCCTGGTCAGACATCGAATGCTGTTCCTTTGCTTATCGCTAATGCTACTCATTGGGGAAAGCAAACAGCACCAAAGACCAGCACACACTCATTGTAAATCTGGCCATTCATGGTCATTGGAGGAAGATTTCTATAATACCAGGACACAACATCACAAGAGACACATCACTTGGTTGATGGGGGCTTGGTACACGTGAAAAAAGAGCAAACAGGAGTCGTAAACCCCTAGGGCAGTATCCAAGGTTTTATTAAAAGTAAAGGAGGATGAAAACACTCACAAACATGGCATAAATGTAAAGCTTAGAACGGTAGAGATGGCCATAACCGGCTGGCGGGGTGTCCGACTGTCAGTATGGTCGGCTTGCTGACGCGTTTTGGGGACAAGTCCCTTTCCTCAGAGCTGGTGCTCCACTGTTATGGCCATCTCTACCGTTCTACTAAGCTTTACATTTATGCCATGTTTGTGAGTATGTTTTCATCCTCTTTACTTTGAATAAACCTTGGATAATGCACTAGGGGTTTGCGCCTCCTGTTTACTCTTTCTTTCAGTTGTTGATTTCCCTATCTGAGGAGGGCAGCATCTCCGAAAGGCTATCCATAGGCGATTTTGGTCCTGGTTCCCTTGGCTTTCCTTTGGCATTTGAATCCCTGGAGCACTGGAGATTTTATTCTGTTATCCGGCTTGGTACACGTTTACCAGCTCCATCCCTTTTTCTTCAATGGATGCAGGCAGCGATCACAACGGATCACTCTTGTATCCAATGATAAACGAGCATAGTAAAACTTGTGTTTACTATGTGTCAGTTTATTTACTGAAAAGGAGTCTAAACAGACTCACTCATTCATTCATGTAATGTGCAGCTTAGGCTGCAGAGAAAGGGACTGTCTTCAGTCCCTTTGTCTCAAAAAAGGAGTACAGTCAGGGCCCTGATTCACTATTGGGCCACCGTGGGCGCATATTCATGGGCTTAAGCCCATTTTCATGGGCGCGTCCGTTTTCTATTTTTTTACCCTGCAACCTAATTCACTATTG